GGTGAGCTCTCTACCACTTGAGCCACAGTGCCACTTCTGGTTTTCTAGTGGTTTATTGGAGATAAGAGTCTCACGGACTTTCCTGCCTGGGCTGGCTTTGAACCACAATCCTCAGATCTCAGCCTCCTAGGTAGCTAGGATTACAGGCGTGAGCCACCGGTGCCTAGCTACCTTGATTCTTTCTAACCGTGCATATGGCCTTAGAAGACACTCTACTTCTCTATACTGCTCTTTTTTTCTTGGTCAGTCATGGGGCTTGAACTCAGGGACTGGGTGTTATCCCTTTGTTTGTTCACTCAAGGCTAGAACTCTACCACTTGAGCCACAGCACCACTTCTGGTTTTCTGGTGGTTTATTGGAGATAAGAGTCTCACAGAAGCTGGGCACTGGTGGCTCACACTTATAATCCTAGCTACTCAGGAGGCTGAGATCTGAGGATCACAGTTCAAAACCAGCCCAGGCAGGAAAGCCTGTGAGACTCTTATCTCCAATAAACCACCAGAAAACCAGAAGCGGCACTGTGGCTCAAGCGGTAGAATGCTTGCCTTGAGATGAAGAGCTGAGGGACAGCGCCCAGGCCCAGAGTTCAAGCCTCACAACAACAACAACAAAAAGGTCTTACGGACTTTCCTGCCCAAGCTGGCTTCGAACTGTGATACTCTGATGTCAGCCTCCTCAGTAGGATTACAGGTATGAGTCACCAGCAGCCCTGCTCTACTGTTTTCTTTTCTTTTTCTTTTTGTCAGCCAGAGGGCTTGAACTCTGGGCCTGGGTGCTGTCCTTGAGCTCTTCAGCTCCAGGCTAGCACTCTACCACTTCAGCCTCCTGAGTAGCTAGGATGACAGGTATGAGCTACCAGCACCCGGCTTCTGTTTTCTTAATCCAGAGTGGTGAATGTTCTTCCTCCAATTCTTAGAATGAAGAACTAATCTCCACCCGCTAGGATGGTGGAATGTGGCCGCATCCTCATTTCCTGTGGGTGCTTTGCTGATTTTGGTGGTACCAGAGTTTGAACTCAGCACCTTGTGTTTGCTAGCTGTGTACTCTACCACTTAAGAAGCAATGCCTCCAGCCCTTTTTTTGCACTGTTTGTGTGTGTGTGTGTGTGTGCATGTGTGCACGTGTGCTGGTTCTGGGGCTTGAACTCTGAGCTTGGGCACTGTCCCTTAGCCTTTTTGCTCAAGGCTAGCCCTCTACCACTTGAGCCACACTTCTATACCTGCCTTTTGCTGTTTGATTGTAGGTAAAAGTCTCACACATTTTCCTGTCCTGACTGGCTTTGAAATGTGCTCCTCAGATAACTCCTGAATAGCTTGGATTACAGGCATGACCTACCAGCGCCCAACTGCCCTGGTTATTTTTGAGATAGGGCTTGGCTTCCTGCCTGGGCTTTTCACTGTGTCTAGCTCTGAGACGGAGTCTCTTAAGATTTTTGTTTTTAATTTTTTTTTTTTTGTCAGTTGTGGGGCCTGGGCGCTGTCCCTCAGCTCTTCAGCTCAAGGCTAGTGCTCTACCACTTGAGCCACAGCGCCACTTTTTGCTTATGTGGTGCTGAGGAA